TTTTTTTTTTCTGTTCTTGTTTCTGATTATTCTTCCTCTAACAGTTTAGTATTAAATTTGTCTTCAGTTTTGCTAATTCTGTCTTCCATTGATTTGATTCTACTTCTTTGTCCTTCCAATTTGTTTCCTATTTTGGAAATTTTAGTGTTAATCTTCTGGATTTCTATTAGCTGTTTTTGTGTGGTTTCTAATTTTCCATTTATTTTTTTCAATTCTTTCTTTCTTTCTTTCTTTCTTTTCAATTCTTCTAGAGTTTTGTTTGTATATTCCTTGATTTTGTCTTTGGTTCCTCAAACTTTTGCTCAGTGCCTTGAAGGTACCTACATATGATTTTTTTGAATTCCATATCACTTAGTTCCAATAGTATTTCTTCCTTCAGAAGATTTTCTGGCCCTGTATTTTGGTCATTTGTTTGAGCCATCTTGTCCTGATTGTGTGTGTGTGTGATTTAAAGTTGTCTGTTGTCTTAGACATTGTACTGTTACTGTATTAATTTGTTAATTTGTTGGTTTGCTTCACCTTGATTTTTTGTTTTGTTTTAATATCTCTAGATGACAGGATGGGTGTGTTACTCCAGTCACTAGTCTGGCAGCACTGGGATGCTCACCACCAGATGGGAGTGTGGGTACAAGTGTCTGATTACTGATTGTGCAGAGCAGCAGAGGGCAGTCTGGGTGGGTGTTGCCTGCTGTCTGTCATTGATTCAGTAGCACCGGAATGGTTGGTGGCATTCACCAGTGAGTGGGGTGTCAGGCTGGGTAGGATTGCTGATTCCTTACTGGTGGGGAAAGCTGGTGGGAGGGGGGAAGGAAAGGAAGAGGAAAACTGAAAAAAGAAAAATACAAGGGGTGGAAGTAGAGTTGAGACCTAAGAAGAAAGAAAAAGGAAAAAAGATGAAAGAAAACAAACAAAAAACAACTGCAGCACAGTACTGGTGCAAACACTAGTCAACAAACATGGCTGCAGTAGAACTGTGGTGCTTGTTCCGCCAGAGTGCACATGACTGAATACAGAGAGACAGGGGCAGGTGCTACTGAATACAGAGATAGTGGAGCATCTGCTCAGCTGGGTTAAAAAAAAAAAAAAAAAAATAGAAGAAGAAGAAGAAAAAAGATAAAAGGGGGAAGGAGAAGGAAAAAAAATAAAGGAAAAAGAACAAAGGAGTTGAGCAGGAAGAACTGAGAAGAAGGGGAAAAAGAAAGAAACTAGTGCAAGCTTAGCCCCCAAGCACAACTGCAGCAGAAACACAGGATTCACTCTGTGGGAGTATGCAGCACCATCAGTGGAAGTGCAAGGGAAAATGCTCCTGGTCACGGTGTGGTGGGCACCCACTCTGCAGGATCAAGAATGAAGGGAGAGAAGAGTAAGGAAAATGAAATGAAGCAAGAAGAAAACAAGGCAGGAAGAGGGAAGAAAAAGAAGTAAACAAGAAAAGAAAAAAAATTAAGAGAAAGAGAGGAAGGGAAGGATGAAGGAAGGGAAGTAGGAAGGAGTAAGGAAGGAGCACCGTATTGCTGAAAATACTAACCCTCAAACATGGTTGTGCAGGAAGCCAGCACTTACTTTGTGGGCGCACACACTTCCAACTAAAGAGGGTCAGGGAGGGGCGCCTGCTGTCCTGGATCCAAAAGAAGAAAATGGGCAAGAGAAGAAGATGGAAAAGGCAGAAGGAAAAAAAGAAAAGAAAAAGGGGGGGGGGTGAGAAGGAAGAATTAAGAAGACAGATAAAAAAAAGAACACCACTGGCAGTGGAGATGGGTTTGACTGGCTGCTGTGTGGATGGGGATGTGGGAGGCCATGTCTCTATCCAGAAAGTTGTACAAAGTAAGGGGGGAGGCCATACCTTTCTGCTTGCCAATCACTGATGTGGGTGCTGGTGCAGCCCCAGGCAAGTGGAGCACCAGTTATCAGGTTCCTCCTCCAACTGGAGCACTGTTTGTAATAATTCAAAATGGCTGTGCTATGCCTGTTGGCAGTTTCCTGCTTCTTGTTCACTGTATTTGTTCAGTCTTTTCATGTCATTGATATTTGATCTACTTCTTTATCCTTGAAGCTCTGGGTTCTAGGATTGTCGTCTGTGTCCATTTCACTTGGTTTCTTGAATCTTTGTTGTGGAGGCTCTGAATAGTGTAACTGCCTGGTCTGCCATCTTGGAGCCTCCTGATATCTTCTGTAAAGCCACTCTTAAGAGCATTGGATGATTTTTGTAATGGAGACATATTGTAGATTCCTTCTATAGTCAAAGCTAGGAAGAACTTTTATCTTCCCTGAGGGACTAGCAAATTGATCATGAGCTCTGTGTATCTTATGTTATTATTTGCCCTTTTTACCTTTGCTGACTGGAACCATAGGCTTATTTCATGCCCATTTTTTTTTTTAGATTTTTCTTAGCCTCTTTTTCTAGTATAATTATCTACCTCTTCTCTCCATTTTATATGTCTATGCTTCTAATGAAATGGCTCTTCTCTTACTCACTGTTATCTCCTAAAAGAAAGCAAGGGTTGTTATATTCCATAGAAATGACGATTACTCTGTTAAGACAAGCAAAGCTACATACATCCCTGTGTGTGGCCATATTGAAAGATAGTTTTCCAAGTGATGAAATTCCTTTGATCTACTTGTACATCCTTATCCCAATACTGCACTATCTTGATTACTGTAATGTTGCAAGTCTTGAAGTTAGGGAATGTTCTTTTTCTAAATTCATTTGGCTATTCTAGGTCCTCTGTATTTTAAAATCACTTTCTTCATCTCTATAAAGAAACTTGCTAGAGCTGTGAATTATTTATAAATTATTTGGGGAATAATTAACATCTTAATAATGTTTATTCTTCTAATCTGTGAACATGGTATAGCTCATATTTTTTTTCAGGACTTCTTAAATATCTCTCAGCAATGTTGTTTGTTTTCAATGTAGAAGTTTTATATGTCTTTTTGTAAATTTATCACATGAATTTGATGCTGTTATAAGTGAGATTTTAACATTTGTTTTTAATTGTTTGCACTACTATTGCTGTTGGGAGCTCTGGTAGTGTAGTGCCGAAAGCACCTGACTGCTAACCAGAAGGCTGGCGCTACAAACCCACCAGCCACTCCTTGGAAGGAAGGTTGGGCAATCTACTTCCCTAGTGATACCACCTCAAAAACCCAAGGAGGGGTCACTATGAGTTGGGTCTGACTCAATGGCACATAACAACAACAACAACAACAACAACAACACTGTTGTTGTTAGTTGCTGTCAAGTCTGTTCCAGCTCATGGCAACTCTGTGTGTGCCCAGTAGAACTGCTCCTGCCAGGCCTGTCTTCTAAACCCCCAGCTGGGTTTGAACCACCAACCTTCCAGCTAGTAGTCAGGAAATTAACTGTGATTACACAAGGGCTCCTATTTGCTACTAGTGTATAGAAATACAATAGATTTTTATATATTAATCCTTGTCCCTGAGACACTGGTACACCCACTAAGTTTTACTTTAACCTGCAGTTCCTGAACATTGTGGCCTTTCTCCTCTTCATATATTTATATGGTTTTTGAGTCTGGTTCCCCATGTCTTCCTCCTCAAGAGGGCCAGTGCAGATGCCATTTGTGAAGTCTTCTGACGCTGTGCTTCAGATGGAATAACTCTTCTGAGTGTCTCTATTACAGAACTTCCCACCCTCAGTGTTGTTGTATGAGCATTCTCTGATGGCAGGAGCTACATCGTATCTTCCTGTGTCCCCACAGTATCCAGCATGGTGTCTTCATTCAATCTGCAAATACATCTTTACAACAATTATTTCTGGAAGGAGGGATGATTCCCTCCTTCCAGAAATAATTCGTCCCAAGAACCACTCTGGGATGGGGTAGAAGGAGCCCTAGTGGCACAGTAGTTAAGTGCTAGGCTGTAACCAAAAAGTACGTGGTTCGAACTAACCAGCTGCTTTGTGGGATAAAGATGTAACAGTCTGCTTCCATAAAGATTACAGGCTTGGAAACCCTATGGGGCAATTCTACTCTGTCCTATAGGGTCCCTGAGTCAGAATCTACTCAATGGCAATGGGTTTGGTTTTGTTGGGGTAGGGTCAAGTGGGAGTAGGGGAAAACCTTTGTACACATCTTCAATTGGAAACAATTCCTGAAGTGTATTTTAACAAGGGAAGGTGGACCTTGTATCAACAACTTCTCCCTGTGTTCTTCCTATGTAAAAGTATGTTGACTAGTGGGTGATCTACTACCCTCTAAATGACTTGGCTTTGCTGCCAGTTTTGAATGTTTGTACATCTAAATATGCTTCTTCTCACATCATATGTGTTTTGTAGGTGGCTGACTGCGCCTGGGATGAAACGATAAAAGTATACGATCCTGCTTGTCTAGTGAGCCCTCCTTGAGATGCACTGCTCTGGTCAGAAACAAAGGACCAGAACTGAAGAACTACTTAGCAGGAAATAAATCAACTGTTGATAGCATAGACACTGTACTTTTATATATCATTCAGCTTTTGATTTTTGAAAATTTATCCTGGAATCAGTTTTGAGGCAGCTGATAGAGACTTTGGTTCACTACTTAAGCCTAATACGTAATAGTACATTTAAGCCATATTTCTTAAAATCCTAAGGAATAATTGATGTTATGATAGATCTTGTAGTATCTATTAAAATGTAACCTCTGTATTGTAGGGTAGATTAAAATATGAAAGATAATAGATTATTACATTTTTAATTTGTCATTTTTTTTTGTAAAATATAATTACCACTTTTGCTAAAAATAAAAACAAGCTGTATTTCTTGAGCATTTGTCATTTTATTATATTCCCAACAAATTTTTTTTTCCCAGTATATTGCATTTATGAATACAGTACTGTATATAGTGTAGATATATCTGTGGCTTGGTTAAAAAAAAAAAAAAAAAACTGCCATGGAGTTGATCCCGACTTGTAGTGACCCCTCTTTGAGTTTCTGAGGTGATATCTTTACAGATGTAGATTGCCCAATTTTCCTTCCTAGGAGTGGCTGGTGGGTTTGAACCACCAGCTTTCTGGTTAGCAGTCAAATGCCTTTGGCACTATGCCAGCAGAGCTCCCAGCCACACACCTTGGAAGGAAGATTAGGCAATCTACTTCCATAGAGATACTGCCTTGGAAACCCAAGGAGGGGTCTCTATGGGTCTGCATCCACTCGACAGCAGTCATTTGGTAGCAAGTCTCTAATGTAAGTTCAACGTATTCATTTCTTCAGCACTTATTTATTGAGCATCTACTATTTTTTGTGTTTCACATAGTTGACATAGAACAAATGAGATTCTCTGAAAGACTGGTGCCTGCTTTAAGAACATGGAATGTTGTAAGCATTGGACCCATTGTTGTTAGATATTGGACCCATGACCTTTTATTTCCCTATTCCTACTTCTCTATTGTTGTTGTTGTTACATGCCTTCGAGTCGGACCCAACTCATAGCGACCCCTGCTTGGGTTTCTGAGGCAGTATCACTACGGAAGTAGATTGCCCCATCTTCCTTCCGAGGAGTGGCTGGTGGGTTTGAACTGCCAGACTTCTGGTTAGCAGTCAAATGACTTAGGCACTACGCTCCAGAGCTCCCACTTCTCTATTAGCAAATGTTAAAAAAAAAAAAAAAAAACAGTTCTCTGAGCAAAAGGCTTAGGTCCTACTAATAATGTTTCCAACAATTGCTCTTAAAACTAGCCCTAAGTAGTGCTCTAAGCCCTCCTTGCTATTTCCCTAAGTCTCCTTAAAAAATCTCTAGGTGATTGTGAACTGTAAAAAAAGTAGGTTAAAAGGAAAAAAAAGCGTAAAAAAAAAGCAATTTTGCATTAACATGTATAATACTTTAATATAATGTCAAAATAAAATGTTATTAAGTGATAATTTTAACAAGTTTTTGAGAATTTAAAGAACAAAATAAACTTGTAGCAATCAGAACAAAAATAAATTTAAATACATGCATATTGTCTTATCTTACGTATTTCTTCATTTCCTTAAAAAAAAAAACACCTCACCTCCCTTGATTCATTTCCTTAGTCCAGCAAAAAATCAAGATGGCTTACAAAATACCAAAACAAGACAGGATAAGTGAAAGGTGGAACAAAAGGAGACATAAAAAGGTGACTAGAGTGGGGCTTGAAAATGCATGCCACAAAGAGCAATGAACTTGCTACTGGCTGGGCCAAAGATTTCCTTCCAACGTTTTTAGCAGCATAAATGGCAGTCCTGGTTAGTTGGAGGGCAGACTTGGTTCTAGTCCATACTAGGTATTTTTTGAATGAATGAATGACCTCAGGAAAGTAAAACTCTTCTTGGTCCTTTGATGATCATTACTTATTGTTTTTAAGAGGCCTGGTAAAGAAGACACTGTTTAACAGAAGTGTGTGGTAGAGAACAAGGTGCCCAACTACATCTTTAGGGTCGTCACAATGGTGAGTTTCTTGGAGCTGGTTTATTTTGTTACTTTCCTCCATGTGAACTAATGGCTCACACCAAAGTGTAGTTTAAGGAAAGTGGGCCTACAATGGGTATTCTGTGTATCAGCAGAATTTCTAATGGACCTTTTAAAATACCCAACCCAAATCACAGGGACAGTGTAACCCTTCCTAATTCTGTTAGTTATCTAGTGCTGCTATAAAAGAAATAGCTGTAACAAACAAATGTATTTTCTCACGTTTAGGAGGTTAGAAGTCCAAATCCAGGATGCCTGCTCTGGAGTAAGGCTGTCTTTCTCTGTCAGCTCTGGAGAAAGGTCCTTGTCTCTTTTAGCTTCTGCTTCTGGGTGATCTTCATGTGACTTGGTAGCAGTCTTCCACAGTGTCTGGGAGGTTCTCAGCACAGGGACCCCAGGTCCAAAGGATGTGCTCCACTCCCGGCTCTTGTTTCTTCATGTCAGTAGGTCCCTCCTTCTCTGCTTGCTTCTCTCTGCTTTTATCTTTTCTAAGATTAGAAGGTAATGCAGGCCACATCCCAGGGAAACTCCCCTCACATAGGTCAGGGTTGTGACCCAAGTAAGAGTGTTGCATCCTTCCCTAATTCTCTTACAGTTGATCAGCTGATCACATCAGAAGGAATGACTACATCATTACATAACTGCCAAATCTCTGAGAGTCATCGCCCAGCCAAGTTGACACACAATTTGCAGGAAAACAATTCAATCCACGACATTAATATATTTTCCTTTTAGAATACAAGAGACATTTTATTAGCAAAATAATCTCACATGTAGCTTTGAAACAAACACTTGTGATTTAAAAACTAGTAACTTCCTTGTTTTACTTTTTACCTCTCTCAGGCATGTTAGAGATGTTCAGAACATTGACTTCATAGTACTTAATTCAGGTTCTTGGTGTCTATCGATATGAAAGTATGTTGGTGAACACTTACCTAGTTGGTTCCCTGGAGTTAGAATTGGAACTGGATGGAAAGGAGCTGGAATCTCCTGGAAGAGAATTCACAAGAGTTTTGAATACTTGGAGCTGGGAAGCTAGGCAGCTTTTGGATTTCAGAGGAGAATCAGTCATTCTCTTTGGACTGGGAGAACCATCCTTTGTTTCTTATCCATCGAGCTGTTGTCCTTCTTCCTGTCTTCCTCACCAAGGTCTCCTGGCACCCAGTAGCAGAACAGCACCAAAGAGTGAAGGAAAAGGAAACTCAGTCACTGAGCATCTTCTGTGATCTGGACACTGGATGAGCTGCTTCATGTATGTTATCCCTTTTAATCTTTAAAATTCCCTGTAAGGCAGACCTCCAGTTTTCCAGAAAGGAAATAATGGTGGGAAGTAATGGAGCTGGAATTTGAAGTCTGTTATGACTAAATCCAAATCCATGGCCCTGCCACATGGCTTCCTTTTCCTGGGAATAACAGAAATTGGCCCACTGAGAAATAATCACAGTTTGGAACTCTCTGGGGAGTGGAGCCTGGTCATTCCTGAGAGAACTGACAAGTATAAAGAGCTGAGAAGCTGGCCTGGTCTCAGTGACCCTACCTGGGTCCGTCACCTCCAGAGAGATCCAGGCTGAGAGCCAGCTGTCCCTGTGCCTTTGGCACTTCTGAACTATATATCCTAGCTGTAATTTTGCTTTTCTGAAAATGAGCTTTCATTAATTTCTTACTTAGCAGGCCTCTCCTTGGATGAACTAATCTACTTAAATGTTTCTACTTCCACACGTACACTAAATACTGTAAGTGATAAGTCTGTATCCCTGCCTTCTTCCTGAGTCTCTCACCTGCCTCTGTACTCACTGTATTCTAGCCAAACTCATCTGCTCACTAAACCTGCTTCTCCTCCTGCACGTGTTTTTATTTGTTGCCAGAGCTGTCCACTGAGAGCTCAAGCTAGAGACCTAAATGCCATCTTGTTCCTTCCCTTCCTCCTACCTCTCTCTTTTATACACATTGAATAGATCACCCAGTCTTGTCCCTTTTACCCCCTTAATACTTCATTCTGTCTCTTCCTCCAATCCAGCCACCACTGCCCCAGTTCAAACCATCATTAGCTTCTCTTTGGATGATTGCAGCAGCTTCCTAAATAGTGTGTCTGTTTCTAGTTCTGTGCCTCTCCAACACAGCTCTGGAGACTGATCTAAAATGCAATCTGATTATATCAATTCCAATGTAAAACCTTTCTCTGTTTATAGGATTGCCTACAGAGACAAGTTCAAGCTCATTAACCAGCAGCCAAGGTCCTCTAGGGTCTCATCCCTGCCTTTCTTTGCAGCATAGCATCTTTGCACATTGCCACGCTCTTTGTATTCTGGCCACACTTGTGGGTCTCAGATTCCCGTGTAAACAATGCAGGTTTTCATCTGTCTTTGCTCAGGCTAATCCATGTGCCTGGGTCCCTGCTCTTGCTTGGCAAATTCTTACTCATCATTTAAAAGTCGCATGAAATGAGTAAAGAAAACAACTATTAGCATACAAAAAATAGCAAAACACACTGTTGGCTATTTGCAACATATGTAACAAATGATTAATATTCAGACTGTATAAAGAGCTTAAATAGTGATAATATCCAATATCTGTTAATGTGACAGCCCTGTTATATACCTTTTTGGAAAGTAATTTGGCAATAAATTGATTTTAAATTACCCTTTGACTCAACAGTTCCACTCTAGGATTTCTCCCCACTCTTCCCATGCCCACATACATGTAGAAGTGTGTTAGAATAAATGTCCAAGGGGATTCATGATGTCCTTGTTTGGAAGGTAACAGGAGAATGGTTATACTACAGAACAGTCATGTAAGAGAATGAGGTAGAACTGTATGTTTTGACTTGGAAGGATTCATTGCTGCTGATATGTGTATAGTTACCTACTGCTGCTTCATAGATCACCCTGAAGCTTAGCCAGTGAAAACAACAAACCATTATTATCTCAGTTTCTGTGGGTCGGGAACCTGGGAGCAGTTTAGTTGGGTGGTTCTGGCTCAGGGCCTCTCACAAGCTTGCAGTTAAGCTGTCACTGGGGCCACAATCTTCTCAAACTCAACTGGGGCTGAAAGATCCACTTCCAGTCACTCATAGGGGTGTTGGCCTCAAAACACTGACCATGTACAACTCTCCACTGGCTGGTCGTCCTCACAGTATGGCATCTGGCTTCCCCCAGACTGAGCGAGCTGAGAGAGACAACCTACGATGGAAAGCTCAGTCCTTTATAACCTAATCCCAGAAAAGTGACAGATCATCACTCAGACCAAATCTGATCTTATGTGGGAGAGGTTATCAAAGGGTATGAATATGGGAAAATGGGAGGTCATTGGGGGCTATTTTAGAGGCTGGCTACCACAATATGCTGTTTGAAAATAGCAAATTAACAGACCAATGCATATGATAACCTGATTTTGTTTAAACAAAGGGAAGGTATGCTTGTGTATAAATATGTATACAAAAAAACTGATGTTGTTATATGCGGTGGAGTCGGACCGACTCATAGCGACCCCTCCTTGGGTTTCTGAGGCAGTATCACTACGAAAGTAGATTGCCCCATCTTCCTTCTGAAGAGTGGTTGGTGGGTTTGAACCGCCAGCCTTCTGGTTAGAAGTCAAGTGCCTTAAGGTTCCATACTAAACTCTTAACTGCAGTAACCACTGTGGAGTTGTGTGGGGTTTGGCATGGGGGATATTGAAAAGAGTATGTTCACTTATTTATGAAGTTTGTTTTTCTTTTATATACTACAATTGACATGTATTACTTTTACAGTTGTTATGGATTGAACTGTGTCCCCAAAATTGTGTTGTAAATCCTAGCCTGTGGGTATAATCCCATGAGGGAGTGAGTTGTTTATTTTAATGAGGCAGGATTAGTGTAGGGTGTGTTTTGAGTTAATCTTGTTTGAGATATAAATGAGATTAAACAAGCTAGGGAAAAGAAGCAAGAGATGGGGGGGGGAGAGAGGCCACGCCACATGAAGACCACCCAGGAGCAGAAGCTGAGGAGAGACAAGGCCCTTCCTCCAGAGCCGCCAGAGAAAGCCTTCGACTGGAGCTGGTACCCTGAGTTCTGGCTCGTAGCCTCTTAAACTGTAAGACAATACATTTCTTTTTGTTAAAATCACCGACGTGCAGCATTTCTGTTATAGCAGCACTAGAAAACTAAGACAATAAAGTAAAGTATTCAAGAAAGTCTGTTTCCTTCTCCAGAAGGTCTTCTCTGATACCCCATCTAAAGCTGATTAAATTGCTGTCCTCAGCACTCTCCTCCTTTCTGCCCCACTGTTGGATCCCCTTCCTTGTGTTGCCTTACCCCTAGCTGAGAATCCCTGAGGACAGAGATTAGTGCCCACTTGGGATGCTCTGTGGTTTCCTGACTGCTTAGGACAAGATACTTGCTCTATGTGTTTGTTGAATGAATGAATGAGCAAAGGGATTTATTTAATGCTAGTAATATTGATTAAGGGGCTCTGGTGGCATAATGGGTAAGTCACTTGGCTGCTAACCAGAAGGCTGGCAGTTTAAAACCCACAACCTGCTCCACGGGAGGAAGATGAGGCAATCTACTTCCATAATGATTTATAGCCTTGGAAACCCAGTGGGGGTTGCTGTGAGTCAGAATCCACTTGTGATGGCAGTGGGTTAGGTTTTGGTTTATTATTACTTATTGAGTAGCTTCAAAGATAGGGCTCTTGAGTCTGACCCTTGATACCCTGATAACAGTAGGTTAAATAGCTATCTGATCTTCAGCTCTGCAGTCTTGTTAATTAACCTTGCTAAATATATTACTCCTGTTTTTCACATTTTTCTTTAGGAGCTTGTCTAGAAAGTATAAGAGAGATGAGGTTAAAATTTTAAAAAAGAAGAAGAAGAAAGAAAATGAAAGTCCTAATGGGAAAGAAGTGTTTGTAATAAAGTGGAGAAAATTTATTGTTTCATGTCACTGTAGGTTTCAAACATCAAGCTAAATTTTCTTGCCTAAATGAGAAGGATAAGAGCTGAATCAGCCCCAAATCTTTTACCTAATAATGTTAGTATCACAAATGGAAGCAATTATAATTTCTGGCAGAAGTGAATCATTCCAAAACTAGGTCTGTGCAGCAATTCTTTATTATATTCACTTAAGATGGCTTAAAGGTACCAACCAACCTTTAATTGAAATGGTTCCCAGAAGCAGAAATCTGTTATTTGCTGGTGTCTGTTTAATTTTCAAAGACTTTTTCCCTGAGTGTACTTTGAATATAGTTATACCACACACATACACATAATCTATACTGTTGCTTCAGTCCTCACTATTTCCTAAAGAAATAAGATCAACAATTGAAAACCACAACCCACTGCCATAGAGTCGATTCTGACTCAGCGAGTCTTTGGGACAGCGTACAACTGCCCCATAGTATTTCCAAGGCTGTAGATCTTCTTATAGAAGTTAGACTGCCTAATCTTTCTCCTGCAGACTGGCTAGTGGGTTCTAACCACTCACCTTTTGGTTAGCAGTCCAGTGCTTTAACAGGATCTCTGAAATGGCCTATCAATCCTGTGTAAACTGTAACTTCCAGCAACAGAAACCAGAGTTCCCAGGGGGACAGGAAGCACGTTTTCAGTGTGGTGCTTTCCAGTGTTTTTCCTGGAAAGTTGGCACAGTGGGGAATTGGAAACACCTGTGGGGGAGAGAAGGGGAGGCAGGGATGTGACTGGGTGCTCTGCCCGTCAGCTGGTAGACGGGTTGAGGCCTGGTTCTCTCCCACCATCATGAGCGCCAGCACCTGTAAAAGTGGCCCAGATAGAGCGCTGCGGTGATGCTGCCGAAGGTCCCCCTGCTGTCCATTTCTGCTTTTCCGTCCCGGTAATGACTACCACAGCGTCAACATCTGGTCTGGGGATGTGGCTTTCAGCACAAAGGTGGAGATAAGGGGCAACAGAAGGCTGACTGGAGAAATGGATCCTATTAGTAAGACAAGGTGATGGATGCAGCGTTGAAAGGTTAGGAGGCTGGGCTCCCGGTGGGGGTGAGCAGCTCAGAGAAGGCAGGCACAGTGAACGAAAGGCCAGGCGGAGCGCAGCCATCTCGAACTCTCCCAAACTCTGGTCCCGGCCCTAATTTTTGAAGCACAGAGGAAAGGAGACTGGAAATTGGCTGTGACCTCCGCTGAGAGAACTCGGCTGCTTCTGAGCTCACGACGGTCCAGGCGATACTTCCCAGGGAACTGAACTCAGATCAGAGGACCACGGAGACCTCGCGCCTGCAGAAGGAAACAATTTCTCTTTTTCTTAGGTAGATGGCAAGCAAACAACTCATCAGAATGTAGGGCAAAGGCGTACCCGGGCCGGGAAGACAAGGTGGAGGGATAGGCAGCCCGTCTCTCTGGTTGTCCTGCCCCTGAACGTCGCCCCCGGCCCCACAGGCTCTGGTCGGCTCTCTGGGACCCAGAGGACGGTGCACGACTCTCCGGCCGCGGCTGAGGGGCCTCGGCTCCTGGCCCCGCCACGCCGCGGTCTGCCCCTCTCGGCCCTCCCCTCGGCCCGCGGTGCCCCTGCGCCTCTCGGCGTCTGTAGACGCTGCTCGCGCCAGAGATCTGTTCCTGCTCGAATTTCTGCATCTTCACCTGCCCGGGTCCCCGCCGCCCGCCAGGGCCCCAGTAAGCTCCCGGGAGCCGCGCGTGATCCCAGGACCTCCCCAGCAAGCAGCAAGGCACGCCGACAGGGGTGCTCATTGCCCGGGGCGGGAATCCCATCAGCCAGCCTTGGGTCCTCAAACCGGGGCAGCGGGTTCCGTGTTGATTCGGCGTCGGCGGCCGAACCTGGAGCATCTGGGAGCGCCGCCGCCCCGACGGTCTTCGCTTCCCGGGCTGGCAACTGTACAAGTTCCCGCGGCTGCGCCGGGAGCCACCGTGGGTGGAAAAACCCCTGCCACACCCGGGAGGGGAACCTTGAGGGGCGGTCACTTGTTGCGGTCAATAAACTGTTCGAACCAGAAGCGCTGTGGTTTCTAAAATCGTCTCGCCTGGGCCCCTGGCTGCCCGAACCCGCGCCCCTTGGCTCGGAGCAGAAGGGAAGGGGCTTGCTGGAGCAGCAGGCGCTGGCGGGGGAGAAGGGGCGCGCGGCGAGCGCCGGCGCGGGTCGCCGCTGGGGCCCGAGGAGCGCCTGCCGGGTCCTACCCTGCGGCAGTTGCCGGCCCGGAGCTCCCGGCCGCCCGGCTTCTCGCAGCTGAACGTCTTCCCTGCAGGTGAAACTGCGCGGGACACAACTCAGGCGGTTCGTCACCTACTTACAAGTCCCTGTCGCTAGGATTCCCGCCACTCCTCCCAGACCAGCCCCCCACCTCTGCCACTTTTCGGAGTCCCCCGCCCCCGGCACCTCTGCCATTGCCTCCTCGGAGCTGCAGGGCAGTCGCACGCGGAGCCGCCGAGCCGCGAGGACGCCCTGCAGCGGAGCGGGCGCCCCCTGCCCTCTGGGGGGGCGGTGGGCCGGCGCCCCCGCCGCCCTCGCTCGGCTCCCTGCGCTCTCCCGCCGACTCTCCCGCAGGTCCCGGAGCGCTGCCCGCCGAGGGGAGCGGCGGGGCCGGAGCGATGCGGCAGCTGTGCCGGGGCCGCGTGCTGGGCATCTCGGTGGCCATCGCGCACGGGGTCTTCTCGGGCTCCCTCAACATCCTGCTCAAGTTCCTCATCAGTCGCTACCAGTTTTCCTTCCTGACCCTGGTGCAGTGCCTGACCAGCTCCACGGCGGCGCTGAGCCTGGAGCTGCTGCGGCGCCTCGGGCTCGTCGCCATGCCCCCCTTCGGCCTGAGCCTGGCGCGCTCCTTCGCGGGGGTCGCAGTGCTCTCCACGCTGCAGTCCAGCCTCACGCTCTGGTCGCTGCGCGGCCTCAGCCTGCCCATGTACGTGGTCTTCAAGCGCTGCCTGCCCCTGGTCACCATGCTCATCGGCGTGCTGGTGCTCAAGAACGGCGCGCCCTCGCCCGGGGTGCTCGCGGCCGTGCTCATCACCACCTGCGGCGCCGCCCTGGCAGGTGAGCGGGACACGCGCGGACCCCACCACACCACACCACACCCCACCGGGCAGGGGGTGACTTAGAGCAACGCCCTCACTTCCAGAGCGGGAGACTGAGGCAGAGAGGCGTAGCGCCTTGGACATGTAGTCGCTTGGCTCACAAACCGGACTTTCGAGACCCAGAGGTGCCTTTCGTTAGCGTTTTTGGCGCCTCCTTCAGACCCCCGCCCCCCAATCCAGATTGTCCTCGCTGCCGACCCCCGCCCTTGCTTCGCCCGGTGTCGCTCAGCCCGCCCCTCTCGGTCTTTCACCCCTTCCTTCCTCCGGGAAGGACGAGAAGCAGCCTGAGCCTCGGAGCTGGAGACCTCCAACCCTAGATCCGCCCAGAGGAAGGGGACTGTGAACTTCCCTCGGTCACACCCGGCTCGGTCGGGAGGTGGAGAGAGTTTGAAGGGGGATGGGAACGAGGTTGAGCAGCCGGGGCTGGTTTGAGGTCTCTGGGGGCTTGAGGGCTCCAGGCACAGTGGAGTGGACCGGTACCCACGTGCTAGCCGGGCTTGGAGGAATGAGCGAGATGGGCGCCGGTGGGAGCGGGGAAAAGCCTCGCTGGGGGCTGAGGGGTAGGGGCTGTGCGCCCAGCGCCTGGCCTGCTTGGGGTTGGAGGCCACTAGCCGCAGCTCCTCTTCCCTCCTGCGGTAGGAAGGGGTACTAGGAGAGCCGCGCCTGGGTGGTCTCGGTGCCACAGAGACAGTCAGCGGTAAGGCACAGACCCCGAGGGCATCTGCGTTCTCCAGGGCCTTTGTGGTGGACAGAGGTAGACGAGGTGACCCAGGAATAAGTCAGGAAGGGCTCCTCTCCTTATGGATAGCACCGGGCATTGACTGAGTTTGGCTTTCCCATCTTTTATCGGTAGCCGATGCACCGCGAGGATACGGTAGTCACTCAGGAGTTCAGTGGGTAGAGCCGGGGCGCGAACCCCCGTCCACTTTTCAGCTCGCTGCGTTGCTCCAGTGGAAACCCACCCGCGCCAACCCGGTGTCTTCTCTCTCTTTCCTTCCTCCCCTGGCTCCGCCGTCCCCCTGGTGCGCTCCAGGAGCCGGTGACCTGACAGGCGACCCCATCGGGTACGTAACGGGCGTGTTGGCGGTGCTGGTGCACGCGGCCTACCTGGTGCTCATCCAGAAGGCGAGCGCCGACACCGAGCACGGGCCGCTCACCGCGCAGTACGTCATCGCTGTCTCAGCCACCCCGCTGCTGGTCGTTTTCTCCTTCGCCAGTACCGACTCCATCCACGCTTGGGCCTTCCCCGGCTGGAAGGATCCCGCCATGGTGTGCATCTTCGTGGCCTGCATCCTGATCGGCTGCGCGATGAACTTCACCACGCTGCACTGCACCTACATCAACTCGGCGGTGACCACCAGCTTTGTGGGCGTGGTGAAGAGCATCGCCACCATCACGGTGGGCATGGTAGCCTTCAGCGACGTGGAGCCCACCTCGCTGTTTATTGCTGGTGTGGTGGTGAACACCTTGGGCTCCATCATTTATTGTGTGGCCAAATTCATGGAGACCAGAAAGCAAAGTAACTACGAGGACCTGGAGACACAGCCCGGGGAAGCCGAGGCGCAGCCAAGTGGAGACCAGCTGCCGTTTGTCATGGAGGCGCTGTCTGGGGAGGGTGGGAATGGCAGGTCAGAAGGTGGAGAGGCAGCACGTGGCTCCACTCAGCAGGGTGGGCAGGAGGCGAGGGGCTTCCCTAGAGGAACCCCGCTGGTGGCCAAGAGCTTGCAGAGCACAGTCGACCCAGAAGAAATGAGCAAGAGGTCCTTAAAGGATGCTTACCTCGAAGTGTGGAGATTAGTTAGGGGCACCAAGTATATGAAGAAGGATTATTTGATAGAAAACGAGGAGTTACCCAGTCCTTGAAAAGGAAGTGCATGTACCTACATATGTACATACACTCATTTTATGTTGGATAAGATAAGTCTTAATGAGGGTCCATCCAGTTCTATTCTTTGAGGACTAGGAAAGGGAAGCAAAGAAAGAAGCTGAAGGGACTGACTGATAGAGAGTAACAAAAAGAGGAGGTGTGTGAATTAGTATGATTTTACCTGAGGCATCACAGAGACAGAAGAATGGGAAGGTGCTTACCAACCAGGGCAGTGGTTTCAGCTTCAGACTCCTGGCACATTTATTTCCTGTCTTTATAACCTTAACCAAATATCTATCTGCATGTACCAAGAGTCCCCCAAGCACCTCCCTCCAAAGATGGAGTATAGAAATGATGACAGCACTTATGAAGCTCAAAGATTACAATCAGGGATACGTTTTTGATGATAGTTAGACCTACATTTTTATCCACAGCTGGGAAACGCGTATACTGTTGAAATGACATTATATATAAACACATTGAATTGATATTTACTGTTTATAATCATCTGATATATCATGTTTATTCTCATTTCTCCCTCCCACCTTTTTTGTTAAAATACATGCTCCATTATTCTATTATGTGAAAGCTATTTTGAAAATATGAGTTCTTAGCTTTAATCACATTTGAAGTTTACTTTTAGTATTTATAAAAATATTTAAGGAGTTGTTTTAGTTCATTGCTTTATAATATTTATTATTGAATGCCATACTTTTTGAAGCCACTTTTACTGTGTCCAGTATCCTCACAAACAATGCAACGGGTGAACTATAATTCAGTATGAACTGCAGCCCAGTGAGCAGAGAGAAGACCATCTGAAGTAAAGCTCTTTCAAAGCCTGTACTGCGCGTCCCAAACCATGTTACAAAAAGAGCAACAACTATATTCACATTCTGATATTTTTCTATATTGAATTTGCCAAAATAAAGTCTGAGTCTATCTGTTAAAAGATAAATTGTTAGAAATTTGTTTTAGACATATTTCTATTCTACTGTTGCTGTATATAGATTACATCTGCTTTCAATGTGTGGTATACAGTGTCTGGTATACCGGGCCGTAGTATTGGGAACTTCCTAAATAAACGTGAATGTTTGGTTTAAAATCACAGCAAAAAAACTAAAATAGTGTCATGTTCCAGTGAAGGAAACTGTTATGAAGTAAAGTAAAATATTGACATGTGCTGAAGTATTAAAGCCATTCGCACCAAACCAAACCAAACAAGTTGGCTTTGAGTTGATTCCGACTCATGGTGACCACATGTGTTTCACAGTACAACTGTGCTCCATAGGGTTTTCAGGACTTTTCATGACCTTTTGGAAGCAGATCTCCAGACCTGTTTTCCAAGACGCCTCTGGGTGGGTTTGAGCTGCTAAGCTTGTGGTTAGAATCCAGTGATTATGTTTTGTGCCACAGTTAATATGGAGCCAGAGATGGAATAGCACAATGCACTGTAGGACGCCTTCCTGCCCATTCCATCCGGGACAGTTACTTTGAGAGTGAGTGCCCCTTGTTATTTGCCACATTGTTACCATGTTCTTGAGACTCTCTGATGGTAGCAGAATGCCCTGTATTTTTATTCACTTTCCAAAAGTCAAAGGAAAACAAGAAGAGAAGCAAAGATTTAGTCTCAGCTCCATCACTTTGGTTCCACAAGTTGGAGAGCAAGAGTAATTGAGGTTGTTTGTGATTGGCCCCGGAAAACCAGTTTTCATAGGCAGTAGATTCTTTACAAAGGAGCTCTGGTGGTGTAGTGCCTAAGGCATTTGACTGCTAACCAAAAGGTTGGCAATTCAAACCCACCAGCCACTCCATGGAAGGAAGATTGGGCAATCTACTTCTGTAAAGATCTGTGGTCTTGGAAACCCAAAGGGGATTGCTATGAGTTTGAATTGACTCGATGGCAGTGAGTTTGGTTTGGTGTTTTAAATTTATTTACATGGGTGCTTCTACAAGTGATTAAAGATGTAGGAGTCCTCACATGGCAGCACTAGAATGTTTGGCTAGGGTTATACTTTTAATGTCAACATGCCACAGGACAACATCTCATTGCAACTCTGTGAAGCTGAGAATTAATGAAAAGCAGCAAAGTTGAACAAACTCTATTTTTTTTTGGTTAATACTGCTGTCAGATAAATGGATAGAATGATTATTTTTCACTAAAGAAAATTCCCTTTTAGTCAAACACATGACTTTGCATTTATGGCAAAAGAAGATGAACTATTTCAACAAAATTTTAGGGACACATAAGGTCTAGGGTAAAGAAGATGGTCAGTGGAAAATGGGAAGACCCTCAACAAGGTACATCAACACAGTGGCTGCAACCATGGGCTCAAGCAGAGCGAATATCATGAGGGTGACACAGGACTGGGCAATGTCTTGTTCTGTTGTACATGGGGTCGCTATGTATGTGTAGATGGCACTTCACAAGAAACAAACCAAAATGGTCCAGGGAAGGAAGGTGGGGGAGAGGGGGATGTTAGAGGGTAGGAAAAACCCTGGAAGATCAAAAGTGGAAGTTCTATCACATCCACTGCTTTGGCCAAAGCTTGGAAAGTCTCTACATGAAGCAAGACAGTGAACCACACGACAAGGCAGTGATTCAGTGCCTGGGGCTCAGCCACAGAAGGCATAAGCAGGTGTCAGCCTTTGCCTGATTCCTGCCTTCTAGAACCATGTCCCTGCCAGGCAGCAGCACGTAGGCCCTTCTGTTGACTCAAATCCACCTTACCCTTTGGGATCAGGCAAGAAGGAGGCTTCTGACATCTTGGGAGCAAAATTCCACTGGAAGTCACCACTGTTGCTTGACTGACCCAGTCTTTGTGCCCTATTGCTGACAATTTATATTCTGCTTTCTTTTTTTTTTTTTTTTTAGAGTGCACCCCTACCCTGTGCCCAACTGGGGGTCAAGTCTCTAAACAAGACTATAGATACATTAGTTCCTCAGGATGGGGCCCTACTTCATACTCACCTGTCACTTACCAGCTGGAATATGTCTCTAAAACATGGCATGATGTCAGACAGATCTCAGTGCTGGCCTCATTTGGCCCCTTCCCCCAAATGCTGTCGAGACCAATTGCTGCTGAGTCAGCTTTGACTCACAGTGGCCACACGTGTGTCAGAGTAGAACTGTGCTCCAGAGTGTTCTCAGTAGCTGATTTTTTGGGAAGTAGATTGCCAGGCCTTTCTTCATAGGCACCTCTGGGTGTACTCAAATTGCCATCATTTTGGGTAGCAGTTGATCATGTTCACCATTTGCACCACCTAAGGAGTTTTAAATGCTATCTGGTCCTCTACTATTGATCGAGGCATGGATCAATAAGAAACACTGGGGCAATGATTAGACAAAACTGGACACATGAGAGAATGTGAGCATGCTATTGTGACTCACTGAGTAGGAGATCTGGTGGCATAATGCCTAAGGCATTTGACTGCTAACCAGAGGCTGGCAGTTCAAACCCACCAGCCACTCCTCAGAAGGAAGGTTGGGCAATCTATTTCTGTAGAGATACCACCTCAGAAACCCAAGGAGGGATCACCATGAGTTGAATCTGACTCGATGGCAGTGAGTTTGGTTTTTGGTTTGAGTAGAGCTAAAGCAATGACCTAAAGTCCAGCAAATCCTACAAAAGGAGTCACTAGTTTTCAGAGAGAATAAGTTCTGGTGGCTTAGTGCCTACGGCATATGCCAACCAGAAGGCTGGTGGTTCAAACCCACCAGCCACTGCTCAGAAGGAAGGTTGGACAATCTACTTCCGTAGTGATACTGCCTCGGAAACCCAAGGAGGTGTCACCATGAGTTGGATCTGACTCAATGGCCATGCATTGCATTGTTAGTTGTCAGAGGGCCTAATAGCAATACTTCTCAGAGACAAAACTGGGTGAAATCTTCACTGACTGAAGACGGGTTTGCATTTCAGTTTGCGAAGTTTCTATTTTCCTATCTTCAAGCTCATGGATTCTTTCCTTGGCCATTTCCAGTCTACTGATGAGCCTATTGAAGGAACTGTTCATTTCCATTACAGTGTGTTTTTGATAGCTAGCGTTTCCTTTTGATTTTTAGAATTTCCATCTCTGCTTTTATTACCCATCTGTTCTTACACATTGTCTACTTTTTCCATTAGATCCTCTACATGTTAATCATAGTTCTTTTTACATTCCTTGTCTGATAATTCCAACATCTGTTTCATGTCTGAGTATGGTTCTCATGCTTGATTTGTCTCCTCAGACATGTTTTTTTTGTTTTGTTTTGCTTTTCTTCTTGCTCAGTTAGCATGCTTTATAATTTATTTGTTGAAACTCAGATATGATGTATCGGATAATAGGAACTGAGGTAAATAGATATTTAGTGTGCAGTTTCATGTTGCTCTTGCTTCAAGTTGGGGGCTCAGTTTAATGTTTGCTGTAACTGTATGTGCCAGAAGCTTCAAATTCCTCTAGTGTCTTTGTTTTTGTCTCCCCTGTTGACTTTAGGCTTCCCTAAGAAGGCCTCCTCAGATAGGGTCTGTGTTTTGCAACCCTTTCATTTGTAACCCACTGTTATTACACTGTAGCCCTGGCATTATGGAGGTAAGGTGTGGGAGGAGGGACAATATTCAATAATCTTTAGTTAAATCTCGGTCTTTTAGTGGGTCTGTGTCCCTGAGCTGTGACCTTCACAAGTATTCCTAATCGTTTCTTTTTCCTCCTTTAGGTGAGACAAGCAGCGGTAGAGGGGGCTGGAGTGAGAGAAATGCCCTTCCCTCAGGGGGATAAGGCTCTGGTAAGTCTTTGCCCCTGGAGAGTAGGGCTTATTTATGGAGAATGCTCTGGGCATATTTCACAATGCTTTATCTTCTCCTTTACCTTCCAGAGGCCCAAGGGGATCTTTCTCAGCTCTTAACCAGTGGTAGAGTTCCCAGGGGCCAAGCCTATGACCCTGTGGGCATTCCCCTAAGACTGTGGACCACACAAGTTTCTCACTCTCATGATAGCCTTCAGATTTTTGTCAAAATTACCACACATATATGTTTCTACCAGTTTAGGGCTCCACTGTCTTCTGCTCCAGCTGGGCAAGTCTTATTGACGAGCCTGGATCCACCTGTCTCTCTCTCCAGACTTCAGAGTGTTGTTTTCATACTCAGTTCTCTGATAGGTCCAACAAAAATGGTTGATTTTTCAGTTAGCCCAGTTTTTCTTCTTGTTAGGAGGGGAGTAACAACTTCCAAGCTCTTTACCTATTGGAGTTGAAATGGAAGTCCTGGCTAAAAATTTATGAAAAAAATTGCTAAATTGCTGTAAAGATAGAAGT